CGGCTGGGGAGCGGGGGTGGCGGGCAGGGGGCGACAGGGCACATACCCTGGCCCCGGCCAGGAAAACGCAGGGAGCATTTCTCCAAAGGGGTGGAGGCGATGGACGCGGGGACCACGCGGCCGCACGTGGGGGGGTGGAGGAGAGAGTGTTGGATGGACAGACAGACAGGAAAGTCCCCCGCTCATCCCCCCGCTCCAGCCGGAGGGACGCGCCGCGCTGTGAGCACCTTAGGGGCCAGAGGGCGTAACCCGCCCTATGGAGAGAGGGCTTCGCGGCGCCAACGCCGAACTTGGGGATGAGGACGACAGGGGGCGCGCCTACCTGGGTCAGGAGCTGCCAGGGCCCATCCCGTCGAATCAGAGCCAGGCCAGGGTGCTCTCAGCCTGCAGGGGAGGTGGCGGGAGGGGGTGGGACTGGGACCGGGCGGCGCTGCGTTGGGGTCGGACCCGCAGGCGAAGAACTGAAGGGCGCGCCCAGCCCCTTTCAGAGAGACCCCGGGCGCAAATATGCGCATTAGGGGCGAGGGCGCAGGGGGTGCTGGGTGGAGTCTAAGGAGGAAGGGGACCTCGGTCAGGGCCTGCGGGGGAGGAGAAGGGGCTCAGGGCGCGCTCGCCAGCGCCCCGGGTCCTAGAGAAGGAGGGGCGGGTGCAGGGGCTGGGCAGCCTCCCCAGCCCAGGGACTGGGAGAGCCCCAGGGGGACGAGGGGCGGGGACGCAGGGGTTCCTGAGGACCGAGACTGCTCAGAGGATGATGGGGGCCGAGCGGGGCTTGCCCAGGGGAGCAGGGGCGGGTTCTTGGGGGCGGGGCATGAAGGATGGACCCAGGGCTTCTCCACCTCAGGGCAGGCGACCTGGACTGGTAGTTGCTGGGATTTGACGGCTGCATTAGCATCCCGAGCCCTGGCTTGATCCCACGCGCAGACAGCTGCACACCTCGCCCGAAATCCCCTCCGGGAGGGCAGCCTGCATCCTGGGCATCGGGCTGGGAGGAGTCCTGAGCCCTTGGCCTGGGCCTCAGTGGGGCCTGGAGCTGGGCAGGGGAAGGACCTTCTCTGCTAAGGACCTAATGTAGCACCTCCACCCCCCACCTCTAAACCTATGAGCACAGCCCCACCTATGAGCACAGCCCTCTGCCTGGTCCTGGAGGCGGCCGCACTCCCCTGGCCGGGAGGTGGGCTTCCCTGGGCCTGGGACGGGGACCTTGATGAGATGGCAATGACGCTAATGCCTCTGTGTAGCACTTCCTGCGCGCCCAGCACTGTCCCTAGTGTGGTACCTGGTTTCGTCCTCACCTACCTCACCGGCGGGTACCATTATATCATCCCATTTTAGAGCCGAGGAAGCAGAGGCTAGGGAGGCTAGCACACACGCATGCCACAGAGCCAGGAAGCCCAGTGTGCGTCTGTGGGTGTGGGTGTTCCCGAGGTTCCCGCAGGGCTCCCTCTCTGTGCCCTCCCCCTTCACACCTCCACTCAGCCCTCCTCCGGCTTCATCCCCAGGAACAAGGGTAGGATGTCTCCAACCCAGATCTCCCCTGGGTGCAGACCTGTACATGCAGCTCCCTAGCGGCCCTGAAGTTCCTCCAAGGTCAAGAGCAGGCGGCCCTCCTCCCAGCCCTCCTCCTCCACTGGCCTCCCATCCACATGGCTCACAGGGCCTTAGATGCTTCCCGCACTGCCCACGCCAAATAGGGCCAGAGGCTTAGGCTTCTGACAAGCTCCTCTCTGCTCCGCCTGGACCACTCTGTGCCTGGATGCAGGCCAGGCCACTCCATCACTTAGCCCTGCAGCAGGCTTTCTGCTTCTGGTCTGCCAGCATCTTCTATACTGCCTGCTGCCACAGAGCACACAACGTGATCTTTCTTAAAAAAAAAAAAAAAGGAGAGAGAGAGAGAGATAGATAGAAACATCAATAATGAGAATCATCAATCAGCTACCTTCTGCCCCCCCCACCACACACACACACACACTGGGGATGAAGCCTACAACCTAGGCATATGCCCTGACCAGGAATTAAACCATGACCTCCTGGTTCATAGGTCAACGCTCAGCCACTGAGCCACGCCAACCGGGCACAACCTGATCTTTCCTCACCTTTGCTCAGCAGCCTTGGGAGAGGCCTGTCACTCTCTCTCTGGCAGGCAGACCAAGTATGGCCTGGCTCCCAACAACCTTTCGGTCTCCCTATTTGAGATCCCAGGTGCAGTCCTGCCTGCCAGCTACCAAAATGCCCTTCCACTGGGAGCAATCCCATCTGATCCTCAAGGAAGGCCCAGCTACAACATCACCCCTCCGTGAAGCCTCCGTCCCTCCCCCATCAGAATGAGCCCCCTTTCTTTCTGTATTCCTCCGACACTGTATTCGTCGCAGTAAGGATGACAGCCAACACTGACATGCGCCATGTCCAGGTACTGGTCTACATCTTTACATCTAGTGCCTCATTTAACCCTCACCACAATTCTATGAAGTAGGTGCTGTTAGTGTTCCCACTTTGCAGATAGGGAAACTGAGGCACGGAGCTAAGTGTCTTGCCCGGGATCTTGCAGCTGCACTGCCCTTAAAGCTGCATTGACTGCACTGCATTGTCTCCATCCCACTGAGGACTGAGGTCATGTCTCTTTCACCTCCGTGTCCCCCAAAACACCACAGGTCATGTCTGGCCAGTGCTTGTTGCAAGAATGGGAGTGAGTAGGAAAGAAAATGAATGGTGTTCTTCCAACCAGTGAGATACCCTGCGATGGCCTGGGTCCCGGGGGCAAGGGAAGGGAGGGAGCCATCCCCAGGGTCCCTGCCCCAGGGGAGCCCCTGGTTGGAGGGCCTCCTGGCCCCGGCCAGTCTGGGCTCAGAGTGGTTGTGAGGATTGTCCATGCATGTGTGTGTACACGTGTGTGTGTGTACACGTGCGCATGTATGTGGGTCTGGGTGCAGGAGCCCAGTCACCTCAGAGCCTGGTGGTCACTGCAGCCTCTCCCCCAGGGCATCATCCACGCGTACCAAACTGGGGACATCGCCCTGGGCAACACCACCAGCATGGGGCGCTGGGAGATCGTGGGCTCCTTCTTCTTTTCCGTGTCCACCATCACCACCATCGGTAAGTGCGGGGGAGGGTGGGGCAGGTGAGCATGGCTGGCACGTTGGCCTCCCCATGAGGGACAGGGGATCAGTGCCTTTTGGAGGGGTGTCAGGGCCTCGGGACTCCCAGAGGGGGTGGTACAGGCACTGTGGGCACCACCTGGGAGCAGAGTCCCGGGCTCACAGCAGATCTGCTGTACCAGGTTCTGCATTTCCCCAGGGTCCCCGGGAGTTGGTGAAGCACCGCTCTAGGGGGCTTCTGCCTCACAAACCCCTCGGGAAGCAGGGGGTCTCCCCTGGGCAGGAGTAAAGATGCTCTGGGCCAAACCCACCCAACACTGAGCCCAGGAGTAGTTGGGGGTGGGGCGAGGGTGGTGTCGGGAGGTGAGGAAGAGGGAGCAGGAATCCAAATCAGCCTTGCAAACCCGTTCTTGCCTTCGGTGAGAAGTGGCCACTCCTGGAGGCCACTCCTCAGCTCACGAAAGCACCCCTTCAACCCATCACTCCCCTCTCCAAGCCCCCTGCCTCCCTCACCTGGGACACTGGGACAGATCCCTGCCTCCACCCAGTTTCCCTAGCCCCGCCCTCAGGAGAGCAGAGGTGGACCTTGTCTCAGGAGGGTGCCTGGGGGCTGTTGTGAGTGGAAGGTGCAGAGCAGCCTAGAGCCCCAGCTCTAGACCCAGGAAGTAAGTAAAGCACCCCATCCCCCTGCCCTGGTGCCAGGCCCAGCCCCTGCATGACACAGGAGTCACCACCAGGTGGCAGGCTGACACCGCAGTGGCTCGGGCTACCTCCACCGGCCAGGCTCCTCTCAGGAAAGCATGTCCCAGCCCCTGTCCTCCCAGACAGGAGCCAGGCCGCAGCACCCAGAGGGCTCTCCACCTAGTTTTAAATTGGCCAATACTTCTTGGAAGCAGGCCTCAGGGCTACACGGGAGCTTGGCCAGCCCTCCACCTTGAGGCAAGCCTGCCTGGGGGCCCCTCAGGCTCCATGGCCCCTGTGCCTGGGGGGATGATGTTTACTCATCTCTGAACCCCCAGGATCTAGGCCAAAGCCCAGGACTCAGTGGACACTCAACAGACGCTGACACACTCATTCCAAAGTACCCATTCCCCAGCACCAATGGAGTTCCAGGGCGGGGGACACGGAGGCACAGTCACAGGTGTCGGGGTCTTAAGTCTCTGAACCCCACACCTCCCCCACCCTCTGCCCCAGGCCTGTGACTTTGGCCCCTGGATTCAGGAATTTGCAGCCTGTCTCTTCCCAGCCCTGCGGTGCTGAGCCTGGTCTGTGTTCCTGTCCATTTCTCTCCGCTCGGTTCCACTGTCTGAGCCGGCTCTGATGGGCAGAGGGCAGAGGAACGGGGACCGCGCCCCACCCTACCCTTACGGTCTAGTTTAACATTTGAGATTTTGTGCGTACGGTCCAACCTCCAAGGACGGGGCTTCTATTTTCATGTTACGGATGAGGAGACGGGGGCACGGGGAAGCACACTGTCCCGAGGGCACGTGGCTAGGAAGCAGCAGAGTTGGCATTGGAAACCCAGCTGAAGGACTGCATTGCTCTTTCCAATGCCCCGGGACCAGCGTAAGGGCTATCCTTTCCAAGCCCAAACGGGGTCGGACAGGCACACGGCACTTCTGGGCCTGCAGGACAGGCCTGAGCCCGGAAACCGTGCATCACCTGTGAAGTCCGTCCCCAGCTCACTCATGTGTCCACTCATCTATCCACCCAATCATTTAACAAGAAGACTGCGTTCCTAGTTCGGGCCTGATAGTTCTAGGTGCTGGCGATACAACGGCGAGCAGAACCGGCAAGTCCCTTCTCTTGGGGGTGCTGACGTTCTACTGTGAGGGAACACAAACAAACTAACAAATGCACGGACAATATTCGGGTTATAAGAGGTGCTTAGGGAAATATAAAGCCAGGTAAGGGAGTTCGATAGTGATGGGGGTCGGAGACTACTGTACATGGGGTGGCACTTGAAGCAGAAACAAACAAAATACAAGAGCAAGTCATGCAGATAACCTTCCAGCACGTGCAGAGGCCCTGAGACAGAGCGTGGCTGGTGTGTTCGGTGAACAGTAGGAGGCACAGATGGCTGGAGAGGGTTGGAACTGAGGACTGACTTTGGAGAAGGGACAGGGGAGCCCAACCACAGAACACCTTGCAGGGCGCTGGCAAAGTGTCTTAGGGCTGGACTACCAAAGTGAAAGAGGGGACAGGTGGGAGGCATGCTGACGTGAGAGGTGGCTTAGATGGGGCCATGGCCACCAAGCATTCAACGGGCAGGTGAGGGCTTCATTGATATCCATCAGTTCCGCTACCTGAGGGCTGAGTGAGAGGGATGGGGAGGAGAAAGCCCCTTTCGTATCAGCCTCAGGAAGGCACAGGCATCCACGGAGCTCCTCCCACATCCGGAATCTAAGGGCTGCCATCCCACAGGTTGGGATGAAAAGGTCAAACCAGGAAGTGCCTCTGACTCCAACACCCATGCTCTAGACGAGTGCTCCCGCCTCTCCCGGGACCGTGCCTCTGAGACCCCTAAGTGAGGCGGGAGAGTGTAAACCACCAGTCTCAATACAGTGCAAATGAGTGTGCGGGGGGCGGGGGGAGGGGGGGCACTTTAAGCAGTGTGTGGGGCAGGGTGCAAGGCATCTGTTCATCTATTTACACATTCATCCCCATATTTCCAATTCACTCATTCATTCATTCATTCTTGTACTCTTCCCACACACATATGGTGGGCTCCTATTGAGTGTCAATCCTGTGCCAATTGTTGAGAATATAAAGATGATTACGACCCAGCCCCTGCCCTGAAGGGGCTCACGATCCTCAGGAGCGGCAGACGTGGGAATAAATCATTCTCAGGCAGCGAGTGGGTTATCCTCAAAGCCTGCAGAGTGTGTGTGTGGGGGCGGGGAGCCACTCTTCCACCAGACCATTTACAGGTGGGCTAGGAGGGCGGGAAGCACACTCTTGGTAGGGGGGTATCATGTTCAAAGGCACAGGGGGAGGAGGGGTTTGGGGTTCAGCGGGCAGGACTGCATCCCGAGCTGGGCTAGGTGAGCGTTTGGACTTTCCCCACAGACATGAGGAATAATACAGAATGATAACCTGGGGGTGATATCACCAGGTTTGTGTTTTAGAAAGACAAGACAGTGGTGACCAAGAATGGGGGAGACAGAGGTGGAGGGAACGGAGGAGGAAAGCATGTCCAGGCTGACAGAATCCTTTCAGGAGCACCTCACTCTCCCCTCGCCTCCCCTCCCTGATCTTCATGACAGAGGTCCCCCCCCAACCCCCCCGAGGTCCCCTGATGTGCATCCTCTGCCCTCACTCCCGAGGGTTTTGGGAAGGAACCCGGGTGCGTAAGTTAGCGCCCTCTGGAAATCAGATAACAAGACCGAATCAGGTGTGCAAGAGATGGGGGACGGGGGGAGGGGGGGGCTTTGAAAGATAGAAGAGGAGCAGGAGAGATGGTGAGAGCCTCAAGTTGCAAAGCAGGTCTGAGACCTGTGACAGGAGAGAAGGAAGGAAGGGCATGAGGGGGGTGAGCACAGACTGCAGTGGGGCGCTGAGAGGCTTGGCCAGGCGAGGGGGGGTCCCAAGCAAGATGGCCTGTTAGAGGAGGCCTGGATCGGGCCGGAGCCGCCAGCTTGGGTGCCGGGAGCCACCTGGGGACACAGCTTCAATGGTGCAGTGAATCCCAGAGGTGCAGGGGCTGGAGGCTCCAAGGCCTCCCACGTCCCTGCACCCATTCCTCTGCCCACAGAGAGGGAGGAGGTGGAGAGAGGGGAGACGGGGCTCTCACACTCACGGGTTTGAGCTCATGCGCTTTGCTGAGCCTCCGGGAGCTTCAGTTTTCCAATCTGTACCACGTGAGCATAACCCCGTCTGGAAGGAGGGAGCGGGTGCCTAGGCGCCCTGCACAGGCTGGATACACACCAGCTGCCATGTCTTAAGTGGGGTAGGAACAGGGACCCCAGTGACAGAAGGGTCCCCTGATGTGCCCGTCTCCCCTCAGGCTATGGCAACCTGAGCCCCCACACGATGGCCGCCCGCCTCTTCTGCATCTTCTTTGCTCTGGTGGGGATCCCGCTCAACCTCGTGGTGCTCAACCACCTGGGGCACCTCATGCAGCAGGGTGTGCACGGCTGTGCCCGCAGGCTGGGGGGCGCCTGGCAGGTGAGGGCCCAGGCAGCAGGGGAGGAGGGGAAGGGGCACTTGTGGAACGAGGGGTGTGCTGGCAACCGTGGCCATTGATGGCTGTGGCAGTCACTGCCCCGGTGAGAGTCTCTGGTGGGACTGGGGGCTCCGGGGGGGTCGATGTTGGGAGAACTGGGAGTCAGGGTTACCGTGGGGATATGGTGGATGGGGGGGGTCACTGTCCAGAAGGGGTTTTTAGTAATAAAAGAGCTCAGTGGGGAGACACGGGGGGACCTGGTAGACAGGAAGGGCCCCAGGACTAAGGCCTTGGCTGGAAAGCTGGGGACACAGCCAGGTGGAGAGGCCCTGAGGGCCGCCCCCTCTCACTGCCTGCAGCTCAGGTGCCCCAGGCTGTCTGCTCCCGGCTGGACAGCAGGGGGGGCTGAGCGCTGTGTGCATCCCCAGGACCCGGCCAAGGCCCGCTGGCTGACGGGCTCGGGCGCCCTCCTCTCGGGCCTCCTGCTCTTCCTGCTGCTGCCGCCCCTGCTCTTCTCCCACATGGAGGGCTGGAGCTACATGGAAGGCTTCTACTTCGCCTTCATCACCCTCAGCACCGTGGGCTTCGGCGACTACGTGATCGGTGAGAGCCCCAGCGGCCAGCGGGAGAGGGGGCTGAGACTGGCCCTCCACTCACCTGCCCACGTGGCCGCGTCCCCTGGGTGCCTGCTGCAAACCAGGCCCGGTGGGGGCCTGACGCCCAAAGTACTTGGCAGGTTAAACCCACCTTCGTTGTGTGAAGAGGCCAAGGTCACCCACCAAAAGGTGACAACTGGAATCTGAACCAGCCTCAGGCTGTGGGTCGCACTCCTGGCCATCTGACAAGCACTGGGAGGGCCTCGCATGTCCTCGGGCCCCACTCCCATTCTTGGGGCTCACCAGATAAGGGGAGTCCCTGAACCCCTCCCCATCTGTCCTTGTCCCAGGTCTCTCCTCCCCACCTCACCCCACCCCCTGAGACGCCAAGCTTCCCACAGTCCCTGGGCTGGGCCCTGGAGGGTCAGGCTAGAATCGGAGACTCGGGAACCCTGGCCCCCACGGGAAAACAATTGGCAGCCGCACTCTGAGCGCCAGCAAGAGTGGGCTGCGTGGTCCCAAGGGCCCAAGGTGGGGTTCAATGTGTGATTTAGCCCCATGGGTCCCGGAAAACCGTGCATAATAAAGCAGAGGCAGACGCCCAGCAGGTGGCAGGAGAGGACAGCCTGTGGGGCAGGCGGGAGGGGTGGCTCCCACAGCTGAAAGTTCACAGGACGAGCAGTGGCTACTGGCACCACCACCACGCTGGGCTCAGGGGGCGCTCTGTACGCGCTCGGACCCCTGGACCTAAACTGGGGAGGAGGCCCTGCCCTCTCACTCCTTTGGAGACAGAACCCAGCCTGGAACACTGAAATGAGGTTTTACCAAGTAACAGTTCCCCAGGCAGTCTAGAGCCATGAGTGCCACCCACTTTATCTATTGATTTATTTCATATATATATATATTTGATTTTTTACAGAGAGCAAGGGAGAGGGATAGAGAGTTAGAAACATCGATGAGAGAGAAACATCGATCAGCTGCCTCCTGCACACTCCCCACTGGGGATGTGCCCGCAACCAAGGCACATGCCCTTGACCGGAATCTAACCTGGGACCTTTCAGTCCGCAGGCCGACGCTCTATCCACTGAGCCAAACCAGTCAGAGCTATCTATTGCTCTATCCACTGAGCCAAACCAGTCAGGGCTATCTATTGATTTTTTTATTGAGAGAGAGAGAGAGAGGAGACATCAATCAGTTGACTCCTGCAGGTGCCACAACCTGGGCATGAGCCCTGACCGGAATCGAACCCTCCACCTTTTGGTGTGTGGGACAATGCTCCAATCAGCTGAGCAACACGGGCCAGGACATATCACCCATTTTACTAAGGAGGAAGCTGAGGCTCAGAGAGACCAAGCCACTTGTCTGAGATTACACAGCTAGTGAGATATCAATTCCGATCTGTTTAATTCCAAAGCTCAGACTCTTTCCAGACCACCTCACACAGCCCCTCTCTGGGCCTCGGTGCTCCGAAGGTGTTGCCCTCACAGAGCACAGTGACAATGGCACATGGACTTGTACGTCTCTGTCTTGTCAGCACCCCCTCCCCCCCTTGGCCCTTAGATTTCTAAAAATGACAAGTGCTGCCCTGGGTGGTGTGCTCAGTGGTTAGAGCACCGACCCTCAGACCGAAGGGTCATGGGTTTGATCCCCGTTCAAGGGCACGAATCTGGATTGCAGATTCCATCCCCAGCCCTGGTCGAGGCTCGTGAGGGAGGCAACCAATCAGTGTGTCTTCTCTCACATTGGTGTATCGCTCTTTCTCTCCCCCTCCCTCCCTTCCTTCCACGCTTTCTAAAAATAAAAGGGGAAAAATAAAAAATAAAAATGGCAAGTGCTATCACGTCACCTGCCCAGCTCCTCTGAAAACCTTTGCTTTTCCTCATAGTCTTAGGCTGGAGGACAAAATCCACGACCAGGCCTGTGGGAGCCTCTCGGGGCCTGGCCCTGTCCTCCCCCTCTCCACACTGAGCCCTCTCCCTTCGTGCTGCCCTGGGCCTCCCTGAAACAGGCTTCTGACAGCAGGCAGCAGCCTCAGCCCAGGGCAGTGTGATCTGAAGGCCCTGCAGCAGCGCCTCCCCCGCTACCCCCTAGGACTCAGAGGATGGAACAGGATTTGTCCCCAGCGATAGTCCTAAACCCAGAAGGCTGGTGCTCTGAGAGAGCCCAGTGCAAGGGGAGGGCAGAAAAGTGGGAAGAGGACCCCAACTAGGGTGTCTTGTGGGAGGAGCTAACAGGGAAAGCCTATGTGGGGTTGAGGGGAACCCCTGAGGAAGTTCTGCGACCCCTGAGGCGGGTGGGGAGGAGGGGCAGCCCCCTCTGGACTTGGGCGCCCTGAAAATGGAAGACAAGGCCTCACCCCCATCAAGGGAGGGGCAGTGGCATTGGCATAGCGGTCTCTACAGGGGTGAGAAGGGCTGGGATCTCTGCTCCCGTGAGCCACCCTGTGGGGAGTGCCGGGCAGGGGTGTGGGCACAGACCTCCCGGAGCCCCTGCCGCCCTGACTTACAGGGGCGGCGGGCAGAGCCGTCCCTTCACCGCCTCTCCTGAGATTTGCTACTGTAGCCATTTCAGTGCCTGTGGCCAGTGACTACGCTGAGCCCTTGACTGCCCGCCTGCAAGGGGAAACTGAGGCTGAGATGGGAAAGACCTTGATTAAGGTCATAGAGCAGGCAAGCCTAAGGCAGGTCTAGGGTAGACGCCCAAGGAGGGCTCCTCACATGCCTGTGTTCCAGAATCTTCCACAGCTGAGAAGGAACAAACCCCCCTCTCCCTTTCCCGTGCCTTGCAGCCTTCCTTATCCTCCAGGGACAAGGTCAATCCCCTGCCCTGGGTGGGAATGCTGAGGCCCACCGCCTGGACTGTGGGTGCCCGTGGTCCCTGCATCAGCAGCCACGGGGGCGCTGTCCCAGCTGCTCCTCTTAAGGCTGTGATGGGCTGAGTCCCCAGGTCCCAGCTGCCTGCTCCTCTCTGGACCCGTAGCCCCCACAATTGCATTTGCAACTCAGTTGAGCGCCTTGCCAGCTGCCAGGTGTCCTGCCACTTACGATTTCAGCTATTAAAAAAAAAAATGAAATAAACTGGAGAGGAACACCTCCTCCCCTGCGTTGCCAGGAGCAAGCTGAGCTGGCGGGTGGCAGGGCACGGAGCTGGCTCACCGCTGATCTCATTTGGGACCGCCGGCGGAATCATGGCCCCGTAACCCAATCAGCCTAATCCAATCCCGGCTCTGGCCAGGCAGCGAGCTGGTTCCCGGGCTGCAGGCTCTTCCCCGGGGCCTAGGCCAGGGGCCTGGCTGTGAGGGGACAGGACGGAGAGGTTGTCTTGGGCCAACAGGACAGGAGGGGGTGGTCAGAGGGCGGTGCGGGAGCAAAGACAGAGAAGATGTCACGGAAGTAGGAGGACAGAGCATCTTTTGAATGATCCCAGTCTATTGAGGGAGGAACGGCGGACCCCAGGAAACAGACAGCGGGAAGAACTGAGTTACAGAGCAAGACTTACCTAAGCCTCACAGCAACCCCCACGTACCCCCTCCCTCAGCTGTTACCTATCCAGCCCTGTCTGTGTTGGGGACCCCAGTGTGGGGACCCAGTGGTGAGTGAACCCATCACCCAACAACAGGGAACAATGCACCACCCTGTTCCAGGCACCATTCTGAGCATTTAGATGCATGAACCCATGTGGTAGTCACAACGGTCTGAGAAGGTGGACACCCTCATTGCCTCCATTTTATAGACAAGGACACTGAGGCCCAGAGGTGATAAGTAACTTCCCCGACAAAACCACAGGCACTGAGAGGTCTTAGCAGAGGGGCCCAGTCTAGTCTTTGGGGAGTGGCATCTGAACTGATATCTGAAGGATGAGGGGAAGACAACCAGGCCAAGAAGACATTTTTTAAAAATATATTTTTATTGATGTCAGAGAGGGAAAGAGATAAAAACATCAACCCTAGCTGGTTTGGCTCAGTGGATAGAGTGTCGGCCTGCAGACTAAAGGGTCCCAGGTTTGATTCTGGTCAAGGGCACATGCCCGGGTTGCGGGCTCGACCCCCAGTAGGGGGCGTGCAGGAGGCAGCCGATCAATGATTCTCATCATTGATGTTTTTATCTCTC